GGGCACGGCCCCCTCTCCCTTCCTTTCCCCCTCTCCTTTAGGTGGAATCCTACTAGGACTTGGAGTCCTAGTAGGACTCCCCTCTCCCGGCATGCCTAGCATAGGCCGGCCGGCCTCACCCTCCCTCCTTTATATCCGAGGGCAGGGGGCACCGTAGAACACACCAAGTTTTTCCTTAGCCGTGTGCAATGCCCCCTCCACAGTTACACACCTCGATCATATCGCCGTAGTGCTTACGCGAAGCCCTGCGCCGGTAACATCATCATCACCGTCGCCACACCGTCATGCTGATGGAACTCACCCTCATCCTCAAATGGATCAAGAGCACGAGGGACGTCATCGAGCTGAACGTGTGCTGAATGCGGAGGTGCCGTACGTTCGGTACTTGGATCGGTTGGATCGCGGAGACGTTCGACTACATCAACCGTGTTACTAAATGCTTCCGCTTTCAGTCTACGAGGGTACGTGGACACACTCTCCCGTCTCGTTGTTATGCATCTCCTAGATTGATCTTGCGTGTTTGTAGGGTATTTTTTTGAAATATTACGTTCCCCAACACGGCCGTACACCAAGATCGGGCCATCTGAGATTACAAGCTTCTAGAACCGATCTGATATCGAAATCAGGGGCATCGGCTTTGGAGCAGACGTCGTACGTTCCTCTTGGGCCAGATAGGTCTTCGGGACCAGGGTAAGCTTCCTTGAAGCGGGATCTAACATCAACCTTGGGGTTCTCACGCTCTTTAGTGGCTTGATCTGACGTTGGGGCCAGGAGAAGCGATTTCGAGATCGGATGTGACACCGACCTCGTGAAGGGGTTCTCATGCCCCTCTACGGCTAGATCCAGCACCGGGTCGGAGGAAAGTGGATCTTGTTGTTCCCGGGGTTGGCATGACACCAAACTCGAGAAGACCAGCTCAAAGCGGATGTCCACGGTTTACTCCTTGCTACCAAACCAGATGGTCCGACCTGGAACAAAGAACTCGACCTAGCCGAGGTGGCCACCCGAGTTGGCGACGAGGGCAACACCGTCGAAGACAACATCTAGCCCGACACAAGTATTGTGATGGTGCCAATCTGAGCATTGAACTTGACTCCCATCACTCCGCGACGATCACCTAGCAGGACATGCATAGGTGACCACAGACATGGTTAAATCCGGCAGGTTTCGGGTAGGGGATCCTAAGCTAGGTTTCTAGAAATGGTGGTAAGAACACATGATTTTAGCCAGATTCAGGGTCTCCGAGGAGATAATACACTATGTTTTGTATGTGTTTATTGTGTTGGAATAAGTACAAAGTACAGGTAATCTACCACAAGATTGTATGATGTCTAATGTCTTCTCTACGAGTTTGGCCCCTCGGTTTATATAATATACCGGGGGGTCCTAAGGTACATGATCCTAGTCAACTACGAACAGGGGGCAGAGTCCTCCACGGACCCAGCTTCTTGGAATATACGTCAAGTCTTCTGCAACCTTCTAATTATACATCATGGGCAGCCCGATGTGGCCTAGATCGGAATCGGCAAGGGGTCTTCAGCCAGGACCACCAGGGCGGGAGTCGACATGATGAGAGGCCCCTAGCCGGGACAACATCAGTGGTGGTATAACTAGAACAAGATTACTGTCATGTGTTGCACTACTGGTGGGCTAACAAAAACAATAATCACGACATGCACATGGTGCATAATTAAGCAAGGACTCGAACGGTATTAAATTATTAAATAAACAAAAAAAATAGTGAGTTATGTAAATATGCTCTCGTTGGTCTCTTATTTTTGCTTATTTGGTGTCACGGTATTGATATAGTCTGAGGTAGAACACTCGAATTGTCCTAAGTGGCATGCCAGACTGATAATGTCAGATAGAGGGAGGACAATATAAGCACCGAAGACTTGCGCGGCAACTCTAAGACTCATTTTTATGACTAATATGTGGCCGATATGCATTTCTTCTACTAGACCTTAGCGTCTCCCTGCTACCGGGTGGCATCTACCAAATGTTGTCGTGCACATCGGCGGAGGTTTTGGTGGACAAAGCAACCAGGCTTTTCTTTCTTGCGAAGCACGTGGCACTGTGCTTGCACACACGTTTTCATTAAATTTACGTACACGTTAATCTTGACTCCTGTTGCAACGCACAGATATATGTGCTAGCTAACAGTCAAATGAGTTTCTATTTTTCATCTGTTTTGGATGTTTAAAATATAATTGATAGATAGGTAGATTTAATCCAAGAAAAAACAAGAAAGATCTAAATATAGGTCGACATGTCTTGTGGCTTTGAGCTGCTCTACTCCTCAAGAGAATCAAAATACAGCAAATACAATTGGCGAAACACATCGAAACCTGTTTGTGCAGAAAATGATGGCGATGGGTACGAGCAATCGATCAGGCTTCACATGACACCAAAGCAAGTAAACAAACCAGAAATGAAATTCTTGCGAAAAGGAGTTTTTCTTTTCTGCGAAAAGGAGCACATATTAGACAAGGAATTCAATCTCTATCGGTGAACACTTGTAAACACGAGGAATATTCAGTTAGGGTAGTCACCAACAAAAACATGTTGGGCATGTGGACCTCTGCTTCTCACCGGCAAATTTGGAAACCATGACAACATTTTTTTTGTGGATCACTGAAATTGACTGGCTACGATGACCACTGACACGTTAACATCAGCACACCAGTGCATTTCTCCTCTTTTTTATTTCTTTAAAATGTTTTAGCATTTTTTTCGTTTCTCCTATCTTTTTACTCCCTTTGTTCGGAATTAATTCCGAACGGAGGGAGTACCTTTTTAACCTTTTATTTTTAGCATTGTTGGTGCAAACGAGAAAGAATCCGGTTCCATTCCATTCCTCCCCTTCCTTTCTCCACCGAAGGCACCAAACGATAGAATCCAATGGGCAGAATCCGGGTGTCCCCGCGCGACACACCACCCCTTCCTCGCCCCGAATCTTCCCTTTCCCTTCCCCGCCCCACACGGCACAACAGCACCAAGCGCTCACCTCCAAAGTCCCCAATCCTGCCGCTCACGCCCCACGAACCCATCAAACCCTAGCTAGCGTCATCACCCCCCTCGAGATGGACGGCCGGGACGCCACGGCGGACCTGCAGGAGTGGGAGCTCCTCCTCGCCTCCCCGACCGCCACCGCGGCGCCGGGCCCTTACGCCGCCGGCGAGGAGGCGGTGGAGGACGACGCCGCCGGGGCCATCAAGTACGACTACTTCGACCTCGGCTCCGACGCCAAGTACGCCAGGAGGGCGTCCCTGTCGGCGGGGGCCGAGGAGGAGGGTAAGGAGGAGGAGGGGACGGACGAGGAGGCCGGCGAGGCGAGCTGGGTGGAGCCGCACCCGGGCGCCCTCGCCTTCCCCGCCCGCGACCGCGCCGCGCTCTGGTCCGACTCGTCGTCGGACGGGGAGAGGCGCGAGGACGCCGAGGCCACCGAGCCGCTGGTGGAGACGCCCCGGGAGGCTGCGGCGGCGGACGAGGGGGCGGTGGCGAAGGGAGGGCCCGCGGCGGCCGCGGCGCGGTGGTGGAGGCTGCCCGTGGAGGTGCTGCGGCTGTGGGCGGCGCGCGCGGCGAGGAGCGCGTGGTCGGTGCCCGTCGCCGTCGCGCTGCTCGGGATCGCCGTGCTGGGCCGCCGGCTGTACCGGATGCGGCGGCAGAGCAAGGCCGTGGCGCGCGTGCGGCTCGTCCTTGACGATAAGGTCAGGCCCTTTGCCCCTTTCAGCCCCATGTCGCGTCCCAATCGCTTGATCTTGCGCCGCTGCGCTTGCGTCGGCGTCTCACTCGTGGGTCTAGTGTTGTTGAGCCGTTGCGTCGTGTATCATCTTTAGAACCTGTTCCCCACTGCTGAGCTTAGCAACAGGCAGCTGCACGACGAACTAGGTGCTACTGACATACATGATGTAAGAATAGTGTCACCTTAAGGAGAAATTCTCTAGGGAAGCTCCCTGTAAAATTCGTTCTAGGAAGCTCCTTGTATTGTTTAAGCTGAAGGTAGAGCATTTCATGGATTTGCTTCCTCGCAAAAAGGAAATAACAACTCTGGTTGCTTCTGTTGCCATGTTTTGCTGTGTGCTCGGTCAGGAATGCATGGCAGTAGCATTTATTTAAAGATGACAATAGTTAATACGCGAACCAATGTGAATGTGGCTGACAGTTGAACTGATTGGATTATTGGATTGATGCTGTTCTTGACAGTTGACACTATTATATACCTCACCATTGCTTATCCATGTGTGAATCTGCAAAATTGCATATTTGTGTTGTCATCTTCTTTATTGCCGAGTATTTATGTTTTCATCGTCCCTGCAGAAGGCATCTCAATTCAAGGCCCAGCCGATGTTGCGGCGAGCTCCGATGATAAAGCCTATGCTTCCCGGCAATGGAGTGACCCCATGGCCTGTGCTGGGGCACCTGTGAGATTGTGAGAGCCGCTACATAGAGCTAGAAATACAGTTGGCTTGTGAGCATACTATGCAGTCCCCTGCAGATTTATACCCTACTTGAAGTGCCTACTTGTGAAGGACAAAAGGATGCTTAAGTGACTCATTCAGTAGATCTTTTCTGCTTGATGTTTGTAATGCGCCCGTGTGTATATTTTTCTTTTGTATCCTCGTTTTACCTGATGTGCCTGAACAATGTGGCTGTGTATATATATGAAACAAAGTATCTGAATATGGTTGTAGAATGGCAGTTTGAAACTGCGGCGAGCTTCCTTTCAGCACCACATTTCTCTTGTTGCTTACTTTTCTCACTGAAAAATGGTGTTGACTGTGAATTCAGCACGCTAGAAAAGATACTTGTCTACGCAATCAGCTGATGTTTCTGAGGCACCTTCTGTTATTGTATGTATTTTTTTCACCAAATGATTGATGATGTAGCCTCATTGGTTTGCACCATCGAGAAAGCAGGCAACTTTTTTTTTTTAGCGTGAGGAAGCAAGAAATTTAACGAGACACGACCCAGGGAAAGAGAACAGAGTCACATGGAACTGACGATGAGTTCCAGGTGACGTTTTACAACTTGATTTATTTATGGGTACAATTTGCATCGAAGTGGTCGTGCCGGAGTGGTTATCGGGCATGACTAGAAATCATGTGGGCTTTGCCCGCGCAGGTTCGAATCCTGCCGACCACGATTTTTTTGCCATTTCTTTAGAGGGTCAACTTATAGTAGCTTTGCAAGCATTTTCCCGCTTTACTTTCCTGCAATAAAGAAGTGAAAACCATATATCGTCCATGACATTTTTCTGGAGGGTCGAGATATAATAGAATTGTGAGCATTTATCCCCTTTTTGCTTTCCTGCAACAAAGGAATGATCACTATATATCGTGTTTCTTTAGTTGAGTAGCTCGAGGTAAACATTTTTCCTCGTAACTCCAAACGGCCGATGCAGACGGATGCGGATTTGATCTGTTTTTTGTTTGTTTGGGTCGACTGTAGGGGGCGGCGGCCGGCCCTGTCCGCGTTTTGCTGGTGAGGGCGCTCAAAGTTTACACATCACAAAAGAAAAGAAGCCGATATATCTATTGGTTGCCAAAGTGAGTCCACGTATGCTCAACTAAATCATCTTGAAGTTGAATGTGAGTTGTCCAATTACGTATTTTCTGATGAAATTGAGAGAATTGTGCAAATGTTGCCGGTCCTCCATGCTCATACACAACATTTTCATTCTAAAATTGAAACCCTTGATCGAAAATTTCATCTTCACGCTCATCTTCTACAATCATGTTGAGCACGATCACACAAGCAGTCATCACCTCGCACGGTTCGAATCCTGCCGACCACGATTTTTTTGCCATTTCTTTAGAGGGTCAACTTATAGTAGCTTTGCAAGCATTTTCCCGCTTTACTTTCCTGCAATAAAGAAGTGAAAACCATATATCGTCCATGCCATTTTTCTGGAGGGTCGAGATATAATAGAATTGTGAGCATTTATCCCCTTTTTGCTTTCCTGCAACAAAGGAATGATCACCATATATCGTGTTTCTTTAGTTGAGTAGCTCGAGGTAAACATTTTTCCTCGTAACTCCAAACGGCCGATGCAGACGGATGCGGATTTGATCTGTTTTTTGTTTGTTTGGGTCGACTGTAGGGGGCGGCGGCCGGCCCTGTCCGCGTTTTGCTGGTGAGGGCGCTCAAAGTTTACACATCACAAAAGAAAAGAAGCCGATATATCTATTGGTTGCCAAAGTGAGTCCACGTATACTCAACTAAATCATCTTGAAGTTGAATGTGAGTTGTCCAATCACGTATTTCCTGATGAAATTGAGAGAATTGTGCAAATGTTGCCGGTCCTCCATGCTCATACACAACATTTTCATTCTAAAATTGAAACCCTTGATCGAAAATTTCATCTTCACGCTCATCTTCTACAATCATGTTGAGCACGATCACACAAGCAGTCATCACCTCGCACGGTTCGAATCCTGCCGACCACGATTTTTTTGCCATTTCTTTAGAGGGTCAACTTATAGTAGCTTTGCAAGCATTTTCCCGCTTTACTTTCCTGCAATAAAGAAGTGAAAACCATATATCGTCCATGACATTTTTCTAGAGGGTCGAGATATAATAGAATTGTGAGCATTTATCCCCTTTTTGCTTTCCTGCAACAAAGGAATGATCACTATATATATCGTGTTTCTTTAGTTGAGTAGCTCGAGGTAAACATTTTTCCTCGTAACTCCAAACGGCCGATGCAGACGGATGCGGATTTGATCTGTTTTTTGTTTGTTTGGATCGACTGTAGGGGGCGGCGGCCGGCCCTGTCCGCGTTTTGCTGGTGAGGGCGCTCAAAGTTTACACATCACAAAAGAAAAGAAGCCGATATATCTATTGGTTGCCAAGGTGAGTCCACGTATGCTCAACTAAATCATCTTGAAGTTGAATGTGAGTTGTCCAATCACGTATTTCCTGATGAAATTGAGAGAATTGTGCAAATGTTGCCGGTCCTCCATGCTCATACACAACATTTTCATTCTAAAATTGAAACCCTTGATCGAAAATTTCATCTTCACGCTCATCTTCTACAATCATGTTGAGCACGATCACACAAGCAGTCATCACCTCGCACGGCTCGAATCCTGCCGACCACGATTTTTTTGCCATTTCTTTAGAGGGTCAACTTATAGTAGCTTTGCAAGCATTTTCCCGCTTTACTTTCCTGCAATAAAGAAGTGAAAACCATATATCGTCCATGACATTTTTCTGGAGGGTCGAGATATAATAGAATTGTGAGCATTTATCCCCTTTTTGCTTTCCTGCAACAAAGGAATGATCACTATATATATCGTGTTTCTTTAGTTGAGTAGCTCGAGGTAAACATTTTTCCTCGTAACTCCAAACGGCCGATGCAGACGGATGCGGATTTGATCTGTTTTTTGTTTGTTTGGGTCGACTGTAGGGGGCGGCGGCCGGCCCTGTCCGTGTTTTGCTGGTGAGGGCGCTCAAAGTTTACACATCACAAAAGAAAAGAAGCCGATATATCTATTGGTTGCCAAAGTGAGTCCACGTATGCTCAACTAAATCATCTTGAAGTTGAATGTGAGTTGTCCAATCACGTATTTCCTGATGAAATTGAGAGAATTGTGCAAATGTTGCCGGTCCTCCATGCTCATACACAACATTTTCATTCTAAAATTGAAACCCTTGATCGAAAATTTCATCTTCACGCTCATCTTCTACAATCATGTTGAGCACGATCACACAAGCAGTCATCACCTCGCACAACTTCTTGGTGCTCCAAGTTCTAGCAGGATACCAAATGATGGTTCATCGAGATTGAAGCACACCGAAAGCAGGCCCCACGCCTTTCTAGCACTCTCTTGTGTTAATCCTCTTCTCTCCTATCGGATTGGAGACTGCCTTGAAAAGAGTTGTCCATTGAGGGCAGATACCATCAGTTAGGTAGCATCCATTGTTGTAGTGGTGGCCATTGATCTCAAAGTTGACCCCTGGGCAGTTACCTTCCGCAAACTTTTCGAACGCAGGAGAGCGCCGAAGCACGTTGATGTCACTGTGAGAACCAGTCATGCTGAAAAAAAGTGCCAAATCCAGAAATCTCATGAAGCCACAACTTCAAGTACGACAATGCAACCTTCAACATGCCCCTATATTGCCCCTGCCAAGCAGATGGACAGTTCTTCCACCTCTAGTGCATACAATACATGCTATCAAGCATCCTCAAAAAGCCCCTATCTGCATTGATCGCCAAGATTTGTTTGTATCCGCAGCATTTAGCTCTCTCGGGTACTCCGGGCCAAAACACTGCTACCACAACCTTGCAGAACTTGTACATTGATGCAAGGCATATGGACTCACTCATGCGCTTATCAACTATATCACCACACTAGTGGAAAAAAACTTAGCTATGGCGTGCCAAAAACAACCTTGCTGGTGTAGACACATGATGCCACAAATATGGCGCCATTGCTAAAATGTAGTGGCGGCGTTGGAGGACACATCAGCAGTATCCTACATCGTGCTGGCGTATCACCAATCCAACGCCAGCACTAAGTTCATCATAACTCTGGCGTGCCTGCTCGTCCAACGCTAACAAATGCTTTTTTGTAATAAAAAAATTACTCATCAACACTAGCTACTTACTTAATAGATACTACTGAACACAATATACTCAACAACACTAGGTACTTACTTAATAGTTAATCATTACATAAAGAGGCTCATGAACTCAACAAGTTGATATTAAACTTCACGAAGTTCACTCAAGTACTCTAGTTACTCGATCATCATCAACTAATAAGATGAGCTGGCTAGCTACTTAAAAAATTAATCTTCAGCAAGGAGTATACCCAACTGCATCAACTTCTTTCTATCCGCCTCTCCTTCTCTTCTGAAATGATCTATGTCCATCTTTAGGTCAATCCTCTCACCTCTGAGGCGTCTCCTATCCTCCTTCGGTTTATCTGGTCCTCGACAAGCTTATCCCTCTCGTCCCTAAGCTGATTAGTCTCCTGAACGAGCCGAACAACATCCTTGCGTAGCTCTTTAATCTCCCCCTTTAGATCGTCCTTTGCGTCTTGCACGCCCTTGATGACATACTCAAAAGTGTTTAAGAATTCATTGTTAGCCATGTCCACATCGCACACCGACTCGTTGTTGCCTCCAGAATTGGCCATGACCTACAAACACATCACGTGTATATACGATCAAGATAATATGCAATGTAAAATAGTTCATGTGTTGGAAATATATGATTTGTAAAGTTTCATTATCAAATACTTGGTGTGAGTTGTATCAAAACAAAATCAGATACTTTTATGATGAATAGTGCATGTGTTGGAAAGACATGATTTTGTTAATTAAGTAGAATGGATAAAATTATGAATCTATTTTGATAAATAAGATATAGCAAGCTGACTTCTATACATACACATACTATCATATATAAGAATAACTTCTGTATGCAAAGCTATTTGATTTACATATACCAGTCAACCTATGCATAGATGTGTAAAGAAAACTAAAATGATAACTTTGAAGATTATACATAACACATTCTATAAATTTCTAATAAACTTGCTCAGATTCGCCAACGGAGGGGAGACACAATAGCAATTGGACGATTATCACTACAATTTCCAGCCGTTTGGCGTGTCCGCGCGAACGGAGGAGTGGATCTAATCTTGGCGCCGGCGAGGGGCGGCGACGACTTTGGTCCAACAGGAGTTGTGTCTAGCTACGACCGGGCCGGGTGGGTTGTGAAATGAGAGTGAGCGGTGGACTTAGGTATTTTACTAGGTCATTGATGGCGTTGGAAAAAATGGCAGCGCCATAACTAATCACAAGCCAAATAAAATGATGGTAAAAAAGCATAATATAATTATATATCATGACGTGCAAAGAAAAATAACGCCAGCACTAACAAAATAACTATGGCGTGCAAAGCAAACCAACGTCGCCAATGGTTTCCAAACGGTGAGTGTATATGGGCCAATAGATTTGTGGCGTTTACAAAACAATCAATGCTAGCACTATGCTTGTAAAGCTGTCGTACGGATTTGGCCTACGCCAGCACTATTTAAAAAAAATAGTGCTGACGCGGATGTAAAATGCCGCACCACCAACGAAATTGTGGAGAGCACTTTTTCCACTAGTGCCAAGAGTTCCGTATGCAAACATCCAAATAGCTTCAGTGCATTTCTCATATGAGAAGAAGCCAATCTTTTCAATGACATCCTCGTTGCATACGAAATAATCACCATACGCCATCATTACCTCACGAATACAGTTGAACGCATGCCTAGCCATCCGGATCTGACGTCAGAATAGTTTGGGATTAAAGAGTGGAGACGTGCACTGAAAGTAATCGACGAAGAGTAGGCAATGGCCGACCTCTCTGCTGCGATTCAACGCGTGAGCATGGTCTGGGATCGCTTCCCTGAACCTCGACCGTTGCCTAGCAATGTGGTCATTGACGACCATAGTCACAACCACAGATTCCTCCCCGTCCGATGGTGAATCGTCTAATGAACACATAAAGTTGTTGAAAAAGAACTCATCCCTACTATCCATGGTACCTTGCGGACGTGGTGGAGAAGCCGACCGGTGAAGAGCCCCGTTCCTTTCCCGAGCACAGGAGACACGCCGTCGAAGTGGAGGCTGCCGTGGGGCGAGGCTGGTGGGCTTGGAGTTAGGCAGGCGACGGTGGAGTCGCTGTGGTGGCGTGGCCGTGGAGGTGCTACGACGACGGCGAAAAGAGACAACCAACGTTGGGAAGAGCGGACATCAGATGGGGCGTCGATGTGAGGGAAGTGTGTGGATGCAGGTGGCGGCCTGAGCAACGTCCGAGCAACCTAAAGTGGGAGGCGACGGCGATGCGGCGTGGTCGGAAGTGTTGAATGTGGAGGTAAGAGGGGAGAACGGCATTGTGCCACTGATAGGGGGGTGGGGAGGGGGCAGGGGGACAAGGGCGGACGTCCCGTGCGTCCGCGCTGACACAAACCCAATTCAATTTTAGGCCGAAAATGAATCGCGGGCTGACGAAAAACGGACATCTGCCCGTTTGCATCGGTGCAAAGCGCCGTGCTTTTTTATCTGTTTAGATCCAAATGGTTCACGCATGGACAAAATGCGTCGGGGCGTTGAAGTTGCCCTAATTGCCTTTAACAAAGGAATGATCATCATGTACTAGCCTGTTTCTTTGTTGCGAGAGGACAGGGAGCTCCAGACGGCATGGGAACGGGAGCAGAGCATAGAAGCGTGCCCAGAGGGAAGACGCGCCGGTACCGTTCGACCAGGTTGCCCGATCGATGCTAGGCAGTTCCTGGTCCCAGACCTGGCGGAGCTCCGTTTCCCCGTCGGGGCAGGCAGGTGATACGCAGTAACGCAGATCACGTGGTCGCACTGCACGGAACGGGGCTGGCGTCGGGCCTGTACACCGCAGCGCCAGCGCGCACATGCGGCGCCGGAAGCCGTCGGACGTCACGCGAACGACCGCGACGCGACCCGACCCCGCCCGCCACGCGGCGACGGGCCAGGCGACACTTGGCTCTGCCGCCCCGCCTCGACCGGAAACGGCCGCTCCCCACCTGAACCCCGACGCTCCTCCGCCCCGCACCCCACTCAACCCCGCGGCCCTCGCTCGCTCGACTCCCTCCTCCTTCACCTCCCGGGGCGCATTAACACCTTCCTAATCAGTTTCCCCTTCGCATCCCTGCTCCAATCCGCGCCGCGTTCCAATCCATTTCCGCCCCCTCCAATCATCCCCAAACCCTACCCGCCGCCGCGCCGCCGCGCCGCCCACCGCCCGCCGCGCGGGGGCAGGGAGGCAGGGAGGAGGAGAAGATGGGCCGGTGGGGGATGAAGCTCGGCGACATGGCCGAGTTCCAGTGCTTCGTCTGCAAGGACGCCGGCGACGTCCGCGTCTGCGACGCCAGGTGAGCGCCGCCCCTCGCCGCGCCCCGGGGTTTTCTCCCTCCTCTATTCCGCGCGAAATCTGCGCCGCGTCGGCGGCCGGCGAATCGCCCGGTGACAATCGCCGCTGAGAATCTCGCTGAACATTAATTGCCCTGCCGTGCCGCCTTTCAGGAACTGCCTCAAGAGCTACCACCCGGGCTGCGTGGGGAAGGAGGACGACTTCATTGATTCCAGCGAGCAATACGTCTGTGGTGAGCGCCTACGCATGGTCGCCCCTGCTTGTTTTACCACGCGTGACCTGCTACGGGAATCGGCGCTACGTTCCTGCGCCTGTCATGCTGCGTGTCCACATTCAGTCATCCATTATTCCTTGGTCACAGCCGAGGATCCTAGATCATGTCCTGCACCTGTGAAACGAACGAAACACCTGCTCTTCATGTTCCTGTCTTTTTCTTCCATGTAAACAGAAAACTGCTGGATGCTTAACCTTCTAGGACACATATGTTTTTATCATCATCCCAGCATCATGCAACATGATAGTAAAACTGTGTTCCAGCGCCGCAATTTCTCCATCTAGAAACTTTGCAGACATAAGCACAACATGTTGCAATGGGAACACATTTTCTTGTTTTTCACTTCACAGCCTTGATTATGCCAAACACTACATAACTCCCCCCCGACTTCAATTTATCAAATGCTTCTTTTACTGCTGTCCTGTAAAATAATGGTACTGGTCCTTGCGCCTAATTTTAACTATTTTCAGATTGGCATAAATGTTCTAATTGTGGAAGTGATGCACTCTATTTATGCTTGTGCTGTCCAAGTTCCTCTGCTTGTGGAGACTGCTTTGGAAAAGTTGATTTTGTCCCAGTGAAGCAGAGCAACGAACTCAACATGGGATTCTGCCGCAGCTGTTTTAATATGGCAATAGCGACTGAGAAAGATGATGCTGAAGAGGTAACGACATGCATATGGAATATGGTCATATGCATACCCCCCAAGCTCATTTTTGAATTACAATAACAAGCTTCCATTTTTCAAAGTGGCACTAAGTTCCAATTAGCACGCATGCTATTCCATTAGTTGTCACCCCCCC